CCAGCTCCTAGGATCATTTATTTGGTCTGTCTTTGGTGCCCTATCTGGGATGATGGGTATTTGTTCACATTCTTGGTTGTTACAAAGGTAAAGATAAAAAGGTAAAGATAAAAAGATATAAATAGAGTTTCAGTATTTTTCCTTTATCTCCAATGGATTATTTTATTTTTTTTCCATTTTAAAGACCACTGTTTGAGAATTTGGAGCCCTAGGAAAAGAGGTCAACCAGGACAGGCCAACATGGGAGCTGTCCCAGCTCACTCACCATTAATTCAGGTGGTGTCCAACACTTTGCATTACTATGTGCCCTTTTAAACACAGAATAGGTCTGCAGGGGGTCATACCTTTAGTATGCAATGACTGAAAAAGCACACAATGATTAAAGCTGTTAAATATTCAATGACTATTCATCCTATAGCATTGATACTATGTAATTAGAAGTAATATGCAACTCATGTTAATTGGGGGACTAGATAAGTACTTAGTACCCAAAAGGATTTACCTACTTGTTATAGTAACCTGTTCCTAGGTTTGCAGTAGTTTCTCTGGTTGGTCAAAAGGGCTTGGTTCAGGAACGAGCCAGAAAGGAGCTTAAATCCCAATTCTGCATGCGTGATGTGAGCTCAGCAATGGATGCTTGATGCCAGAGGGTTTGTGAAAAGAGGGCAGCATACCATGCTCATTTGCAGGGAGAATGTATATAAAATGGCTCTGGTGCATCCCAACTCAGTAATAAAGGATGGTCATTTTCTGAATCGTTTCTATGAAGCTAGCAAATCTTAAAATTTAGGGTGTGACACTGAACAGGCCATTTCTGACATCTGGGGAAGACGGAGTGCAGTGGCCTATGCCTGTAATCTCAACACCTGGGATACTAAGGCATGAGAGTAAACTATGCAAGATCAACCTGAGTGCTCCAGACAACGAGGCCTTGTCTCATAACAGAAACAAGCAAAACCTGTGGGAAAGCACAAGTTTTGTGGCTGGTTCTCCTCTGCTCCTTTTATTGAGCAGAGGCCCTAAACATGTGTGGATCTTATACTCACTTCAGATCCATCCTTGGCTAGATTTTTTCCAGAATATGTCATTTTTTCAAAGGTCATTTTCAATGGGATTATTTCCCTGATTTTTTTTCTCAGTCTCTCATGGGCATGCTAAATTTGTTATCATGTCACTTTGCTGAAAGTGTTTTTTAACACTAAGAGCTTTGTGGTGGTGAAGTCTTTCTGGTTTCTCATGTGCAAATAATGATACTTTTACTTTTTATTTTCCTATTCATAACCTTTCAATTCCTTTTCTTGTCTTATTGCGCTAGCTAAGACTTCAAACACTGCATTGAATAAGAGTGGAGAGACAGGGCACCCTTGTCTTGCCTCTGATCGTAGTGGGAATGCTATGTGTTTTCCCATCACTTGGCATGATTTTGGCTATAGGTTTGTCATATAAAAGCTTTAGTATGTTCCCTCCACTTCTGCTCTATTCAGGGGTTTTGTCATGAAAGGATGATGGGTTTTCGTCAAAGGACTTTCGTGCATCTATTCGGATGATCGTGTGAATTCTGTCCTTGAGACTGTGTCATTCATTGTCTTTACTGATTTTCATAGGTTGAACCATTAGGTGTCTCTGAATGACGCTAATTTGATTATGGTGGACGCTCTTTTTCACGTGTTCTTGAATTCAGTTTGCATCTGTGTTCATTGGGGAGCTTGGTCTGTGGATATCTTTTCTTGTGTAGCTTGAACGTAACTGGCCCCCATAATCCCCTAGGGAGTAGTACCATTAGGAGTACTTTGTTGGAGTGGGTATAGCCTTGTAAGAGGAAGTGTGTCCCTGTGGGGGCGGGCTTTGAGGTCTCTTTTGCTCAAGCTTCCCTCAGTGTGACAGTCAGTCAACTTCCTGTTGCCTGCAAGATGTAGCACTCGCAGCTCCAGCACCACGTCTACCTGCACGCCACCACGCTCCCCATCATGATAATAATGGACTGAAACTCTGAGACTGTAAGTGAGCCACCCGCCACCCCAATTAAATGTGTTCTTTATAAGAGTTGCCGTGGTCATGGTGTTTCTTTGCAGCAATAAAAATCTGAACTTTTATATCTGTGTTTGTGATCAGTGTAGTACTGGCTCCATACAAAGAGCTTGGAAGCAGCCTTCCTTTTCTGTTTTATAGGAGAATTTCAGAAACGTTGGTTTTAGTCCCTCTTTTAAGATTTGGTAGGATTATGCAGTGAGTCCATCTGGACCTGGGCTTTTTTTAGTTGGGAGAGTTTTTATTACTGCTCCAATTTTATTATCTACGTCTTTTTTTTTTTTTTTTTTGAGGTACACTCCTGGCTGTCCTGGAACTCACCACATAGAACAGGCTGGCCTTTAGATGCACAGAGATTCCATGGCCTCTACCTCCCAAGTGCAGGGATTAAAGGCATGCACCATGAACCATGACACCCAGCCGTAAGTCTTTATATCTCACTTGGTTTTTGTTTTGTTTTGTTTTGTTTTTTTTGTTGGCTAAATGACATATCTTTTCATGGGAATGAGAAACTGAACTCACAAACTATCATTGTTTTGGAATTAATATGTGACTTCATATCTTATAGTACTTGCTTTATGAAACTGAATGCATCTGTGTTCTGGGTATATATGTTTAGAATTGTGTTGTCTTCTTAATGGACTGTTCCCACAATCAGTATAAAGTGGTCTTCTTTATCTCTTCTGCCTAGTTTTGATTGGAATCTATCCTGTCAGATATTATGGCATCCATGGTTCCATTTGCTTGGACCTGTTTCCATCCTTTCATGCAAGGTGGTGCCTTTCTTTTGGGTGGAATGTACTTCTTGGAGATGGCAAAAAGAAAGAGCGTGCTTTCTAAACCATTCTGAGAGCCTACAGGTTATTTATTTCTTTATTTTAATTATTTGTATATGTGCATATATGTATGGTAGTATGTGCGCATAAGTGCAGGTGCCCATGTAGGCCAGAAGAGGGTGTTGGATCCTGGTGCTAGAGTTACAGGCAATTGTGAGCCAGTTGACTTGGATGCTGGGAACTGAACTTGAGTCCTCTTTAAGAGCAGTACATACTCTTAACCACTGAGCCATGTCTCTAGCTCTAGTTTATGGTTTTTATTGGAGAACTGAGGCTATTAACATTCAGAGTTATTATTGAAAGGTAAATCGGTCCTTTTCTCTGTCTTTTAATGTGCTTTCTTTGCTCTATAGGTTTAGATTTTTAACTATTAGAAAACTCAGAGAGTTCTTTCCTGGCCTTGTCTATTTGGTGTTCTGTCTTCCACTTTGACTTTGATGAGCACCTCTTCCCCTAGATTTAGGGAATTTCCTTCCATGATTTTTATTGAAAAATGTTTCCTATATCTTTAGTATGAGAATCTTCTTCTATGATTATAATTCCTAGATTTTTGTCTCTTTATGACATTCCCAAGAGCTCACATGTCCTGTTCATACTTGAATAAAAAATTTCAAGCATGGCTTTTACCGAATGACTGAATTCTTCTAGCTTTGTCTTCAAGCTATGATATTCTGTCCTCCATATGATCCATTCTCTTGGTGAGGCTTCGTACTGTCTTTTATTTGATTTATTGAAATTTTTACTTCCAGTATTGAAGGGACTCTAGCCTGCCTGAGCGTGGCAAACATGGCTCTGGCAGGCCTTACCCTTCTCCCATTCCCTCTGCCTTGCTAAACCATTAGATTGCATTCCTAAAGCTAGCCACCAAGGTCTACTCTTTTATTTGGCCACTTCCTCCTCCAGAGACTGACTATTAAGGTCCAGTTATCAAAGTATTGAAGTTCAGCCCTTTGGCTCACCTAAATAACATGCCCAATCAAAATTAAACACCTTATTCTAACACGGGTTTCCCGTTGTATCTTTATAAACTGCCATTTTCCTACAGGCCACATCCGTCTCCTCTCTATCCAGAGGCAGTCCTTTGTCCCTGGGGCAAACATCTTCCCCCTGCCCCCTTGCTCCCTTCCCCTTCTCCTCTGTCCCTGTCTTTATCTCCTATTCCCCACCATTTGCCCCCTGGGGCAAATAAATCTCCTTTGTGCCGAGAACTTGGTTATGGGAGTTGGGAGCCAACCCTTTCCAGTATCATTTCAGTTTGACTTTTTTTTTTTCTTCAGTATTTCTGTATTTTTATTGAATTCTTTTTTTATATCCTAAATTGACTTCCTTATTTTGGTCATTTATTTGTTGATGATCTCTTAAAAGTCATTCCGGAGGGTTTTTTTTTTTTCTGTCCTGTTAAAATTTGCTCAGTAGTTTATTCATGCTCTCTTCCAATTCTTTGAACACATTTATAATTGTTCTTTGGGATTACTCCTCTGGAATGTCATGTAAGTTGTGATGGATAATCCTGGTTGTCAGCTTGACCACATCTAAAAACTAAAACATCAACTAAAAACCCAAGTATCTGGGCATGCTCATGAGGGGCTTTTCTTGGTTGAATTATTTGAAGTTGGAAGACCCACCCTAGATGGGGGCCACATCTTCTAGTGGTAGCCTATATAAAAGAACATGAGAGAAGGAAGTTTTTCTTGTTGCCTGCTTGCCCTGAATCTTGCTGACAAGTTCATCTGTCCTGCTGCTGAGGCATCCCTTCATTGGTGTTAAAACCTACTCCTTCAGGATTCCAATGTAAACTGAAGACCAGCTGGGACATCCAGCCTGGTGGACTGAACAACTGTCAGATTCTTGGCCTTTCCATCATGAGGTAAGCATCGTTGGACTAGCCAGACCACAGCCAATGCACCATTCTAATAACCCCTTTTCAATAATACAGATTCATTCTATCAGTTCTGTTCCTCTAGAGAACCCCAATTAATATATAACCATTATTACCATTACTAGGAGACTGATAATTTTTTTTAAAGATTTATTTGTTTTATGTTATGTGTGAGTGCTTGAAATGCATGAACATTTACAGTATACAAGTGTGGTACCTGTGGCACACAGACAGGGGCATCAGATCCTCTGGAACTAGAGTTACAGGTGTTTGTGAGCTGCTATGTACCAGGTCCTCTGTGAGAGCAGCAAATGCTCTACCCATTGAGAAACTTCTCCAGTCCTCAGGACTGGTGATTTTTAGAGAAGACACATTGCTTTTGTTTTTGGAGAGGGACCTACTCATTTGGAGCTAGTTCATTGGTTGAGTCCTTTGGTCTAAGTTTCTGTCCTACTTGTTTCTGAGTGGGTGGTTGAATCTATACTTGCTTGTAATCTGTCTTATCTGGTTTTGGATTGGACAGGTGATACTTAGGGATTGGGGAAGGTGGCTGATTTGTGATAGGGTAGCTGAGGTAATTCCATGTCATTTAGGGGGCACATAGTCTCCGACCTCATAATGAGACATTCTTCATAGGTTTTAGGGGTGGTATCAGGTTCTGTAGAAGTGTCTCCTCCAAACACACAAGCATGTGCATACTGTTCTGCCATGAAGAGAGAGGTGGGGTGCCGGGGTCAGCTAGTGCCAGCTCCTCACCTCAGAAGCAAGCAGGCTCTCCACACAATTTGATGTGATGGGAGGTGGGATGCCAGAGTTGGCTAGGTCCCAGCCTCTTGCCTCAGATGCTGAGTTTTGGTTTTAAGTAGAGGAAAAGGTTGTGGGAGGGGTGAGAATTGTGTGTAATTCAGCAAGTTTCTGGTCAAAGTTTGGTCTCAATTCTGTTTCTTTGAGGTTGTTCCGTGAGGTCCTTGTCGATTGATGGGAGCAATCTGAGGCCCAGAAGTTGAAGGCTCCTCACCACCATTCTAGAGAGTGGTCAAGTCTGGTCTATGTCTGGCAGTCAAGATGACTGCATGTTTAGGACAGCAACGCATCTTTATGCCTGCAGCCTTGAAGGAGAACGTGACGGGGTAGGCATCACCAGCTTTTAAACAGACATCCCTTGAATGATTGACTTGCTTGAAGAGCCACGCAGGATTCAGAGATAGATACAAACGGAAGGAGAGGAGATGCCAGGCTCTTAACCCACTTTTAGTCATCTTGTGGGCCAAGGAAGGGGTCAGTGTTTCCTTTCCTTTGCCCTTTCTTTTTTATTCAATGCAGTTTTTAAGTGACTCTTGTTTCCCCTTTTGCTTTTAAGGGGGCTCCGACCAGAGGGGAGAGACCTTCAATGACCGTTGAATGAAGAGTAAATACAAGTCCCCGGACCGGGGCATGCGCACTGCTGAGGCAGCCTTCGGGAGCCATGTTCTGAGAGCTGTGCTCCCCAGGTCACATGAGAACACCGCGTGTTGGGCTCCCAGGCTGTGGTGGGGTGAAGACCTGAAGCTGTGGTGCTTGCTAACCCGAGGCTCTAGGAGAGGCCAGGTCAACAGCTTCCTCATTTGCCCCACAACTTAGAGTTGAGAGAGGCTCTTAGCTAGGCTCCGAGCACTATTCTAAGCAGGTGGCTATAAACTCTGACCACACAGGAAAATCAGCGGCGGGGAGCTTTAAAAATATTGATATTTGGGCTGACATTCCAGAGATTTCATGATATGTTTGACTTTGGATACAAAGCCAGCTGTGGGTGAAGATTGAGAAATAGGAATAAAGCCGGGCGGTGGTGGCGCACGCCTTTAATCCCAGCACTCGGGAGGCAGAGGCAGGCGGAACTCTGTGAGTTCGAGGCCAGCCAGCCTGGGCTACCAAGTGAGCTCCAGGAAAGG